ATACTTCTACTACCAATTCTAATGTTTGGCTCACATATTCTAGAGCAACAAACCATCTCACTTCAGATTTTGAAAATTTATCTTTTCCTTCAGACTATGTTGGTGATGAAGTAGTCACAATTGGTAATGGTCAGGGTTTACCAATCTCTCACACAGGTCAATCTACTCTTCCTACAACATCCCATACTTTCAATTTGACTGATGTTCTTCATGTTCCTTCACTCTCTTCCAACTTACTTTCTGTTCATAAATTGTGTGCTACTAATCATTGTCAAATAACATTTGATGAACATGAATTCTTTATTTAGGACAAGGCCACGGGCACTCTTCTCTGCAGAGGAAAGAGTACTAATGGCTTATATCCTATCCAAGCTTTACCTCAGTCTTCTTCAATTACTGCAAATTTGGGCAGTCGAGTTCATCATCAGCTTTGGCATGATAGATTGGAGCATCCTTCTCATCCTATTCTTCAGCAAGTTTTATCTACTTTCCAACATTCTTCCTCTATTGCAAATAAGCCTTGTACTTGTGAACATTGCATTTATGGCAAGATGTCTAAGCTGCCTTTTTTTGTGTCACACACTGTCTCATTTTTTCCTTTAGAATTGATGCACACAGATGTATGGGGTCCTGCTCCTGAAATGTCTTACAATGGCTATAGATACTATATTTCTTTTATAGACAACTACTCCAAGTTTACTTGGATTTATTCTCTTGCTAAAAAATCTGATGTTTATCAAGTTATTTGTCACTTTAAGCCTTATGTTGAAAATTTTCTCACTCATACAATCAAAATTCTTTGATCTGATGGAGGTGGAGAATTTATTAGTCATCCGTTGAAGTCTTTTCTTCAACAATCTGGCATTTCTCATCAAAAATCCTGCCCATACACTCCTCAGCAGAATGGAGTGGCTGAGAGAAAACACAGGCATATAGGGGAAACAACTATTACCCTTATGTCTAAGGCCTCAGTTCCTACAAAATTCTGGGTTCATGTCTTTTCCACAGTAGTCTATCTCATTAATAGACTTCCTAGTTCAAATACTTCACGTAAGTCTCCTTTTGAACTTCTTTTTGGACAGAGACCTGATTATCAGTTTCTAAAAGTCTTTGGTTGTTCATGCTTTCCTCTTCTTAAGCCATATAATTCTCATAAACTTCAGCCAAAGTCTAAGCTTTGTGTCTTTCTTGGATACACTGCTGATTTTAAAGGATATTTTTGGTATCATATTCCTACTCAAAAGATGTACATCTCTAGACATGTCTTATTTGATGAAACCACTTTTCCTTTTGCAAATACCTCCTCCTCTTCTACTTTATCTCCTACACCCTCAGTGTTAGGACCTCCTCCTCTTTATTTTTTCCCACAGGACTCAGTATCTTCTTCTTCCACTACTACTCAAACCTATGTTCCTCCTTCTTCCACAAATTCAATTCCTGTCACCACTCAAAGCTCCACACATTCTGTTTCTACACCTTCACCTTCTGTTTCTACCCCCTCTCCGCATCTCACTTCTCCTTTAGTTACCAATCCACTAGCTCAACCTCTAGTAGTTAACAATCATCCAATGCAAACTAGATCCAAGCACGACATTGGTAAAAAGAAATTGTTTCTCACTACTGCTCTTGTGTCTGAGCCTACCTTTTATACCATTGCATCCAAATCTCCAGAATGGCGAGCAGCCATGGCTGAAGAATTCTCAACTTTGCAGCAACAGGGCACCTGGTCTCTGGTTCCCCCTTCTTCACAGCAGAATCTCATCGGATCTAAATGGGTTTATAGAATAAAGTATAATGCCAATGGTACTATTGCTAGATATAAAGCAAGATTAGTGGCCAAAGGCTATCACCAAGAACCGGGCATAGATTACATTGAGACCTTTAGTCCTGTGGTCAAGCATGCAACAGTAAGGGTTATTCTGTCTCTAGCTGCCAAATATGGTTGGAAGCTTCAACAATTGGATGTTAAAAATGCCTTTTTACATGGTACTTTGAAGGAGGATGTCTACATGGCTCAACCACCTGGTTTTATTGATCAAACAACACCTCATTATGTCTGCAAACTACATAATCCATTGATGGTCTCAAACAAGCTCCACGAGCTTGGTTTGAAAGGTTCAATACTTATCTTTACACTTGTGATTTTCATACCTCAGCTGCAGATCCCTCACTGTTCATCAGAAAATATGGCTCTTCTCTCACAGTCCTACTTCTGTATGTGGATGACATCATTCTTTCAGGCAATGATTCATCTTATATACAGACTCTTATATCCCATCTGCACACTAAATTTGAAATGAAAGATTTAGGTCCTCTTCATTTCTTTCTAGGTTTAGAAATTGAACACACCTCCACTGGTCTGTTTATTAGTTAGGAAAAATACACAAAAGACCTTCTTCAGAAGACAAACACATGGCCACTTGCAAAAGCTATAAAACTCCTTGTGTTTCTGGTAATAGATTGGGCAAGACTTATGGTACTTTGCTTCCTGATCCTACTGTCTATAGAAGTGTGGTGGGTGCACTTCAATACTTAACCTTTACAAGACCTGATATCACCTTTGTTGTGAACCATGTTTGCTAATGCATGCACTGTCCCACAAATGTTCATTATGCAGCAGTCAAAAGAATCCTTAGATATCTTCAAGGCACTTTGTCCTATGGCCTTACTTATCAAAGGAGTTCTATATCACTTACAGCCTTTGCAAATGCTGACTGGGCTGGAGATCCAGAGGATAGGAGGTCTATAACTGGATTTGTCGTTTATTTGTGAAACAATCCTGTTCATTGGGGCACAAAGAAACAATCCACAATATCTAGGTCCTCTACTGAAGCAGAGTACAGGTCCTTGGCTTCCACTGTTGTTGAGTTATCCTGGCTACGAATTTTACTCTGTGATCTACATATTTTTCTTCCCAGAACGCCCAAGCTCTGGTGTGACAATGTCTCAGCAATGGCCTTGGCTTCAAATCCTGTGTTTCATGCTCGCTCAAAGCATATTACTATTGATTTTCATTACATTCGAGAAAAGGTGGTTCGTAAAGATTTATCAGTCCATTATGTTTCAACACAAGATCAAGTAGCTGGTGTCTTCACCAAAGGCTTAACTACTGCCAATTTCATTAAGTTTCGAGACAAACTAATGATTCATACTTCCCCATTAGTTTAAGGGAGGCTCATAACACATGTAGTAGTTTTACTAGTTAAATGAGCAGTTAAATAGTTTGTTAGGCAGTTAGTTACAGGTAAGAAATGCTGAGCTAGTACTCAGGTGTATGATGAGTCTAATTGTTCTATAAATACACCTGTAATCTGTACAAATCTAATTTGAGAAATGAATTCCAAAAAATTATTTTTCTAATTCTTCTCTTTTTCATTTCTTCTTGTGAGTTCTCTCTTGAGTCTCTGCACAGTTCTGTCAGTCTGTGGGTTCAATAGCTATTGCAGACAAACCAGTGGGACTCCAAGTTGTCAATGCCCACTTGGGTATTCGCTAATGGATCCGAATAACAAATTTGGTGGCTGTAAACCGGATTTTGATCAAGGGTGTGGGGTGGATGATCAATCAGTAGATCCTGAAGAACTGTATCATTTCAGAAGCTTCAGGGTTTGACTTGGCCATTTGGAGATTATGATCGCTTGGGACCTTATAATCAGACTGATTGTGAACAGTCTTGCTTGCATGATTGTTTGTGTGCTGCTGCCATATTTGATGGCTTAAATTCAATATGTTGGAAGAAGAAACTGCCACTTGCTAACGGACGATTCCAGCGTGGATCACTGGTTCTCATCAAAGTAAGGAGAGATGTTTCTAGCGTCCCAGGCATGCCCAATATTCCGTCAAATCGTTCTGGTAACACCAAGACAGAGAAGCATTTTCTCTTAGGATCACTGGGAAGTTCCATGTTCTTCAATTTTCTTTTGCTAGTTTTGATTGCTCGAATCATTTTATTTAGGCGCAAGAAGAAAAGGCCTGCAAAAGATCCAGCAGCAATTGAGCCAAATCTACGCTTATTTAGTTTCAGAGAACTCAAAGAAGCAATAGATGGGTTCAAGGATGAGCTAGGAAGAAGTTATTCTGGCTGTGTTTATAAAGGCANAGTTTCAGAGAACTCAAAGAAGCAATAGATGGGTTCAAGGATGAGCTAGGAAGAAGTTCTTCTGGCTGTGTTTATAAAGGCATTTTGAAATCTGGTTCAAGAAATTTAGTTGCTGTCAAGAAGCTAAACAAGTTGTCTTCAGAAGGCGAAAGAGAATTCAAATCTGAGGTTGATGCAATTGGGAAGACCCATCACAAGAACCTTGCTCAGCTTCTTGGGTACTGTCATGAGGGGCCTCATAGGCTTTTAGTATACGAGTTCATGAGCAATGGCAGTTTAGCAACCTTTCTATTTGGCTCTCCAAGGCCTAATTGGACTGAAAGGTCACCCGTGGCGATCGGGATTGCAAGAGGACTAGTGTACTTACATGCAGAATGCAATGCCACAATAATCCACTATGATATAAAGCCCCATAACATTCTCTTAGATGGAAATGTCACATCCCGGATTTTCGACTTTGGATTGTCCAAGACATTGATGATGGATCAGAGTAGAACCTGTACTGCAATAAGAGGAACAAAAGGGTATGTTGCTCCTGAATGGTTCAAGAATGTGCCTGACTGTTAAAGTGGATGTTTACAATTTTGGGGTTGTGTTATTGGAGATTATATGTGGTAGGAGAGGTGTGGAAATGGAGTTTGGGGAAGAAGAAAGAGCAATACTAACAGATTGGGTTTGTACTTGTTATATGGAAGGAAGATTAGATTGTTTGACGGAGAATGAGGATTTGGGTTTGTGTGATATTTCCGTATTGCAAAGATGGTTGATGACTGCAATTTGGTGTATTCAAGAAGATCCTTCGAAAAGGCCTATAATGAAGACTGTGATACAAATGCTTGAAGGATATGTTGCAGTTCCTCTTCCTCCTTTCGCTTCTTCTTCTTTCTCTTTAGCTTGTTGAGTCTTGTAAACTCTTTTGTTTTTCCTTACTCTCCATTGCAAGACTATATTAGACCCAATTCCTATAGAATAAATCCTAGATAAATGTAATCATTCACTAGTCATGGATATCCGTTAAATCAAGAATTAAAAATTATATTTCTATATCTATATTAAGAAAATTGTCCAATATTTAGCATTTTTGTGAATTCTTTTTTCCAATCAACAATTTTTATGAGCATCCTAATAGTAAAATATAGCACATTTTAAATCATTCAATCAATTCTTCTCACTTATTCTTTTAGAAGTCAGAATGAATACTAAACATTTTTGTAATAAAAATGTAAAGAAATAAACAAATGATTCATACTTTAAACTCTAAATATCCATGAAGTTCTATGAATTTTTGGTAGTCCTATTTTTTCAAAAATGATTTCAAATAAGAACACAAACTATTTTAACCCTGATAATCATAAACAAACAAATATTACTTTTTCACTCTAATAGATACCATTTTTATGTAAAGATAAACTAGAAAATAAAATCTTTAATAATTTTATAAAATTTTACTTTCTATCAATTTAAGGATTTTGATTAAAATTTTCACAATTTTTTATTAGAAATTTATTTATAACTTGAAATTTAAGAAATTATTAAATACTTAAGAGTTAATAGTACAATTGTGTGTTATGGTTATAGGGGCAAGATTAAAAGTAGTTAATTAATGTATGGTTCCTCCTTTGATGTGTAAACTAATTTTAGTTCTACTAGATTTTTAATATAAAAAAAAGTTTTCTGTGTTTTTAAAAAAATTGCATGTAGTCCCTGTGTAGGTGAGAATGTATAAGAGTTAGACAGTTAGCATGTTTTCATTACTCATTTTGCATTCATAACATGATTTCAATCTAACACATAGTTAATTTCTCTTTTTTTTTTTTTGCATTTGTTATTGAAGATTGTATGGTGTAGTCTATTAGGTTTGAAATCTAAATTCGCAATACAAGCAATTTGGAATGTATCGGTCGTTTATCTTAAGTATTAATTTGGTAGGTATATAAATTATATTGTAGCAATTAAGTTTTATGCATTCGTTGATAGGTTTAGGTATATGTTCGTTATGATTTAAGTAATTTTGAATTGTATTTTGTTTTATATGTTTGTGTACTTGTAATGACATATATGTACATTCTTCTCAATTAAATACTAATGTACCTATCTCGTGGATATATATCTGTACTACATATAAAAGTGTGTAAAGATAAAAAAAACTTTTATTTTCCTATGTTGTCCTTAATTTATACCTTAAATCCAATTTTGTCCTTCAACTCAAATGGCATACAAACCGTTCAGTCTTCAGACCCTACAGATTCTTACAAGTTACAGTAGATATTCCACCAATTAGCATTTGAAACTTACCTTCACTATTAAGAGTGGAAAATCCAACGATCATTCTCAGGTAGTTGAAGACAGCCTTGGTTATTCCTACCTTTGTTTTCTTGGTAAAGATCTTGCTCTTACAACGACATTACCTGATTCTTACGATTTCCCTGTGTTCCAGCCTTGTCAGGTCCTTCTTCAAAATCCATGTATTATTTCTATTCATATGTTGGGAACTTGTCTTTCCCTTTTTTTTTTTCTCTTGCAAATTGACAATGATCCATTTGGTCTATTATGGTGCAAATATCTGAGATTTGATTTGCTAAGGCTTTATCTTCCTTATTGATTTCTATTTTCTACACACATTTTGTTTCACCACGCTCCAACGAACCCATCTTTGATTCTTTTTGAATTGGCTGCATATATTCTAATTATGAATATGCGCATATGATATTATACTGAAGTTATCTAGTGATTGAGTTACAATGAATCTGATCTATTGCCAAAGGTACCGACAAGATTTTTTGACATAATGGTTTGGGTATTCTTCATTTTGCAATCAAATTTGAGTTGGGTTTCTATCTTTCTCGTTTTACAGAGCTTAAAGATTTGATTTTTGTGGAGATTTATGGATCACCCATCAAATGATAGGTTTAGTCCTCGGGTTGGGAGACCTGATGGCCAAGGATGGTAAGCAATATTTTCTTAAGTATAAGCCTATAATGCTAATTAATTATTACAATATTACTGTTATATTCAATTTCTCTTTGTGGTTCTATGCAGATCTAGTGAACAATCTCACCCTCATTGTGAGGCCTGAGACCATGGAAGCTTTGGCTGATGTGAACATGAAATTGCTAGAAAATTGGAGAGAAATTAATCCATGATTGGTTCACCTGGTTTTTTTCTCTCGTTGTGCTCAAATTTTATATCTTTATTGTAACTATTTTATTTTTTCTTTATTGTTAAATAGTTGGATTCCTTGTCCACCATTGTTTTATTTCTCTTCCTATTAATAAAGATTTCATATCTTATGAGAAACAAAACTTAGATATTAGGTGATCAAGCAACCCAAAATTAGATGCCCATATCTAGGCACAGTTATTTTTAGAAAGTACTTCTTCATCTGAAAAATCCATCTGTGGGAAATGAAATCAGTTTCCTAAAGGCCTTTCTTGATCGATAGTTGGTCACATGAAAGTTTAGCAGTGCTTGGCTGATGACTTCTTGGCATGTCTTTTGAATGCAGTTTGTTTTGGAACTATTTAATTACTTAAGTTCATGGGTTTTAGGTTGCTTGAGACTTTTCGCCAAACAAAATGACTACACTGTAAAAGTGTATATCAACTTTATGCTCATTCAAAGAGAGGAAAAAAGGGCACACTTCAATGATTTAGATATGCATTAAATTTTTATCTTATTTCTTCTTAAGACCTTCTCATGTTTTTAATTAGTGTTTATTTGTACGAACATTTAGCTCAAGTTTTGGCATCTGGATTGCAGATGAAGTGATATACCAAGTGTGCATGTCGTACCTCCCTAACATTCAAATTGCTACCATAATATTTTACTTATTTTTATAGCTTTAAAGTTTGATTGGGATTTGTATAAATTGTTAAGGACAAAGCAAATGGAGGAAAAAAATGTTGCAACAGATATTCTTATGTGCATAGCTTTGCAAACACCCAAGCCATAAATTTGTTTTCTAAATGAAATTATTGATTGTGATAATGAAAAGTAGAAATAAGTTTTCCACTTCTAAAACCATGACAACCTCATTAATTATAAGTTTCAATGGTTTCTGCAACCTATGTTACTTGAAGTGGGTATTTAGAGGGAAAAAAATGCCAAAAAGTTTTACTCTGTTTTAGATAATATTTTTGGAAGCTGGGATGAAACCTTTATATTTCATAAAAGTATGTATATTTTATTGTGCTTTTGAATGTTTTCATCCGGTACATTTGAGCATAATGCGGAAAAGCAAGATATGGAATCGAAATACTTTAAAGGTGTTCACAATTCCTTGTGTTGTGTATGTCTATTTGTATAATTGTGGGCTCGTTCACATAATTTTATATGAATACAAGTGCAGATTGCTTTAACAGGAAATTGGCTAATAATTTTTTTTTCTTTTGTCTTATCGGTTGAAAGATATGAGTCATTATTTCATTTGTTAAACGTCAAACACACATGATAATGGTCATCTTAATTTTATTTCAACCAAATTAATACCTTAACAAAAGAAGGTAAAAGAGTTTTGAAGCTTTAGAAATTTAGATTTGTCTAACGTTATTATTTTGAAGTTCATGCGTAAGCCATCACCGAGCCAAAGTGGTAGAGGAAAAATAGAATTAGCATCTATCATGATTCCCTCCATGCTCCACACAGCNCACTTCAATGATTTAGATATGCATTAAATTTTTATCTTATTTCTTCTTAAGACCTTCTCATGTTTTTAATTAGTGTTTATTTGTACGAACATTTAGCTCAAGTTTTGGCATCTGGATTGCAGATGAAGTGATATACCAAGTGTGCATGTCGTACCTCCCTAACATTCAAATTGCTACCATAATATTTTACTTATTTTTATAGCTTTAAAGTTTGATTGGGATTTGTATAAATTGTTAAGGACAAAGCAAATGGAGGAAAAAAATGTTGCAACAGATATTCTTATGTGCATAGCTTTGCAAACACCCAAGCCATAAATTTGTTTTCTAAATGAAATTATTGATTGTGATAATGAAAAGTAGAAATAAGTTTTCCACTTCTAAAACCATGACAACCTCATTAATTATAAGTTTCAATGGTTTCTGCAACCTATGTTACTTGAAGTGGGTATTTAGAGGGAAAAAAATGCCAAAAAGTTTTACTCTGTTTTAGATAATATTTTTGGAAGCTGGGATGAAACCTTTATATTTCATAAAAGTATGTATATTTTATTGTGCTTTTGAATGTTTTCATCCGGTACATTTGAGCATAATGCGGAAAAGCAAGATATGGAATCGAAATACTTTAAAGGTGTTCACAATTCCTTGTGTTGTGTATGTCTATTTGTATAATTGTGGGCTCGTTCACATAATTTTATATGAATACAAGTGCAGATTGCTTTAACAGGAAATTGGCTAATAATTTTTTTTTCTTTTGTCTTATCGGTTGAAAGATATGAGTCATTATTTCATTTGTTAAACGTCAAACACACATGATAATGGTCATCTTAATTTTATTTCAACCAAATTAATACCTTAACAAAAGAAGGTAAAAGAGTTTTGAAGCTTTAGAAATTTAGATTTGTCTAACGTTATTATTTTGAAGTTCATGCGTAAGCCATCACCGAGCCAAAGTGGTAGAGGAAAAATAGAATTAGCATCTATCATGATTCCCTCCATGCTCCACACAGCCCAAATGACTTTTACAAACTAAGCATTGCATTCTTATAATAGCTTATGTGTTCCTTACTCATGACATAATAGCATTGCATCCATGTAGTTTTTTTTTTGGTTAACATTCTTAGAAGTTTCGGTATGTTCATTTAACTATAAATTGATCAAGTAATATTTTATTTTTAAAATAATACAAAAAAATTATAATTCGAAATAGTTCAAGTGCAACGCACATGTGTATTAACTAGTATATATAAATATATCT